CCTGCAGTGTTAAGATGTTAAAGTGGGCACTACCACTTGTAAAGTGATGCAGTAGTGTGAAAAAAAATTACTAGAAGCCATATCAGTCTGCATTTCATGATACTGCGACCACTACTATTACTATTTTTTTTTACACTACTGCCCGTGAACATGATGCATGCAACTGTGCTGAAATATCGGGAGCTAAAACAATCCAATAATGGTAAGAAACCGAATCTTACGAACATTATTCAAGTTTAGTACTATATTAAAATTGTTAAGTTTTATCACAGTACAGATGTTATTGTATTTATTTGTCAGGCGGCCGGCAGAAGACACGCAGCTGACTTCGGCTGCCCGCGCTATCGTTAACTCGATACGGAGTATACAAGCACGGAATAATTGTGAGTTTTAAATTTCTGGATCATTGAAATAATGGATATTTTTAGCATAAACGGCAAAATGGATTTCTATGACATTTAGTGTTGATGTAGAGAATAATAGTCTGGAAGAGCAGACTACTTGCTATTTTTAATTCCACGCGAATGACGTCGCGGGCGAAAGCTAGTTATGGAATAAATCTTTTGATGAATTGATGCTTGTCATTTTGTAACTAGAATAGCATGTATTCGTATGATATTCGGTTTAGTAAAATATAGCATATTTGTTCTAGACTATATTTTACTATGCCAAAATTTATCGAGATCCGTTGAGATGATTCGGAGACTTATCTTCTAGTAAACATCCATATAAACTCGCATTTATAATATTAGAAAGATACTCTAGAAGTTCTGTTTATTCGGTTTTTAAAATTCCATACAGACGCGGGCAACAGACGTAATAATACTAATTTTCTCCTTGACTCAGTCCGCGTATAATTAAAAAAAAAAAAAAACAAAAATGAGTAGCCTAGTTGTTCTTCCAGACTATCCTCTACATCTATATCAAATATCATCGAAATCCGTTCAGCCGTTTAGGCTACAAACTCTAAAAAACATCCATCCATCTAAACTTTCGCATTTATAATATTAGTATGATTTAAGATGGTATTTCCTTTGTAGACCATCACGACGGTCGTCGTAGTTTTGACTACAGTAATCAGTACCGCGAGCGCGGCCGCAGACACGACAGGGAAGATAAAGATAAACCCCCCTTCAAGAAAGCGGACACATTTGATGGCAAGCCTGAAGGAGAGAGGAGATTCGATGGCATACCACGGAACAGGAATTTCAACCCGCTGCCATTTCAGTACAGACCCCCGTATTTACTGAGACAGGTGAGTGCTTTTAAATCAACTAGTTGTGGCTCGCGACCGCTCTCGTGAAACTAAATATAATAATTTAAAATATAGCTTATGTTACTCACTGATAATGGGAAAGATTTTTTGAAATCGGCCCAGTAGTGTATGAGTTATTTCAATACAGATAAAAATACCAAAATACTAATCTTTCCTCTTTTTTTATACTTATATTATAATGAAGAAAGATTTGTATTTTTGTATCAATGTGTAACAGGCTATGTTTATTATTATTGTTTAATTTCACGAGGGCAAAGTCGCGAGCAACAGCTAGTAGTATTAAAAATCAATAGGCATGGGCTTACTCATGTCCCTATGTTTCGATTTCTGTAACTGCTACGAAAAAGTATTCGTAACGATATCGACTTTGTATGAGATTCGAATTTACGTCTTTAATGGAATACAGCTACATAGAAAATTTGTCGATGACGGCTCTTAAATTCGTTTTAAACGCTCTTGAGTTGAAGCCCCAGCGGCTTATCAATCTACAGAATCGTTACAGAAACCTTTCTCTTGGATGATAAGAAAGAGACGGAAGATGTCCCTTTTTCTTTACCACCCTTTTCTTATAAGGAGAGGATGGGAAGGGGAAGTGGATTTGACGGTGGAGGTAATGCATAGGAAGGGGCAATATCCTCTTTATGTGCGTCTCCTCCTCCGTCGGACAAGGGTAGGCAACGCATCTGCGATCGCGGATGTCTCCATAGACATGCCCATGCAGCAGTCGCTTCGCCATTTTGGCGGCTTCAGGTGGCCGCTTGCTCGTTTGCCACCTTATGTTATAAAAAAAAAATGTTGTCTACGAAAAGTTAATGCCACAATTTCATTCGATATTAATTTTATTATTATCATTAAACCTTATAACATATTTTTAACATTTTTTTTTTCAATTATATCAGATGTCACCCGGCGCTTGGTGCAGGCGATCACCTGGACCAGTACATCCAGGTAAATAAGTAATAGCGACATCTATTGTCGAAATTCGAAAACAATTTTACGTATGCTCTTTTGATAACACTAAACCACTAGATGGCGTTGTACTTGAAATAAAAAAAACTTTTACTAAAATTCAATGTAATTGTAAAATTGTAACAAAACAAAAATTTTAACTTTTATAGGTATGTAATTACAGATTTATTGAAAACAGGACTAAATAATCCTTAGACAGAAATAAATCCTTAAACTAAACGATATTGTCAACTAGTGACATAGGTAAATTTATTTCTGCTTTCTATTAAATTTGATCAATTTTTTTTGTTATTTCCAGTTTTAGGCCATCCGAGGCGACCGCATCCGGACACGAGGAACGGCAGGCGTTAAACCATAACTTATCTGAAAAACATACAAACATTAACCTGCAAACATATCCCTGCCCGTACAGCGGAGTACACGACACACAGACAAATTATATATGTATATTTGTACACAAAGTCATTGTAAAAACGTATACAAAAAGTACAGCATTGTACACAAAATATATAAATAAATATAGTCTTTAAATATTTTTGAAGTCAATAGTAATTAGAGTAGTGAAGTAGAATACAATAATATTAAAAATATCATATATACTAAAATATTTCCTTCTATGTGTTTTGGTGAAATAACAATAATAAATACAGTACATAAAAATTAGGTATAATTTGTTTCTCATCTGATTTTTTTTTTCTAATTTTAATTTATTTATGATATATTTCGATTTACTATGTGCAGTCCGCTGTACGGATTTTCATTGGAATATCAATAAAACGCATACACTTATTTTTCAGTCATTTTACAGTACAAGTTATTTCACAATTTTATTTGAATGAGACAACTTATTAGTTTTGATATTCTGAATTGTAGTCACTTTAATTTCCAATCAGGACTCGCGATGTGAAATATGTTAGTGTGGGTTTTCATCGTCAGATACACTGTTAGAAACATTTTCATTGCTCATTGTTTTTGTTTAATCTGAGACATGTTTTAATATAGTTTCGTCAGTGAAAACTCAGAGAAAACAAAATGGCGGAAATTGAATACGTTCACATCTCACACCTGTGTTTAAATTACAGTTTAAAATAAAATTATAATGAAAAATATAGATGTGATTAAATAGAATATCTTTCAGGCTTCAAATTCTTCGCTGCTCCCGTACAAAATATATTTCTAGATGTAAGTAGAAGGAATCTTCGGACATGACAAGATCTCAAGATAAAACGCGAACTAGTCATTTTTTTTTAAATAAAACACAATGCGAAGCATTTAGACTTAGTTTTTTTTAATTTAGTTTTCGGATATCCGCAAGCTTCCTTCCGCTGTTACGGACATCGATCTGTTATTCCTTATTTTTTATAAGTTTTTCAAATTGAAAAAACGTGAATTTAAACGGTATATCTTAGATGATTTTCTAACGGAATTAGGGTTATACAGATGTCAAAAGACTACTAAATCTTAAATCTCCGCTTTGACAGTTGTCACGCGGTGTTGCCATTTGTTTTTAAATAATACTCCGTATAGTGTTCTAATTCACGTTTTTCAAATATTGTGATGTTTGTTAATTATTTTATAACTAAGTTTATCTCTTGCGTAAGGTAGTTGGTAATTTTGTTTAACCGCAAATGTAAATTTAACTTTACTTAAGTATTATTTAATAACCTCTTATTAAGTTAACAGAATATGTCAACATTGTAATTTTGTATTTACATTTGCGTTTGAACATAATATAGTTAACTACGAAGCGGCGTTGTACAATTAAGTTATTGAAAAATAATTATTTTTCGGTTAAACTTAAAATTTACGTAAATCGTAAGTGTAACTTAAAATATTTTAGGAGTTATTTTGTTTTGAGTGTAATACAATAGTTTTTTAAAATGAGAAAATAAATATATGAAAATGTATTGATTAAGTCGCTGTGGTAATAATACTGACTCTTAAAATATTTTACGCTATTCAACAATGGTACATTATATTGATTTAAAAACAATAAGAAATAATAATTCTTTCATAGTAGTTGCTTGGTGTTTTGTATGATACGCAATTCATAAATATCGCATCTGGTGTTCATTGTGACCAGATAGTGACAAATAAAAATACAGTTCGTCTATCTTAATGTTAGCATAAATAACACTGACAGTTATTGTTGACATTGACTATGTCACTATGTCAATTTCACTCATAGTCAATGTTAGAGTTAGAGCGTGCCTATACTAAATTATTGCAAAACTGTTTAGTCGCGCTTTAATTTCTATGAGTTTATATAGGTGCGCACAATACCCGATTTTTAGTTGTGCAACTAAACAGTTGAATTGGCTGGGAAATGATCGACAATCGCCCGACAGTTGTACGATAGTTTAGTCAAAGGTGTGCGCCAGCTCTAATTACACTGAATGATTGTTACATTGTCATTTAAATGAAGAATATCAACACTATTAATCAGTTTTACTAATAACAAGGTCAGTTTTTCCGTTTTCGTATTGACATAAGTGGCACTGTCAATGTCAACGTCAACGTTAGTCATTCTCAACGTCAGTCAAAGCAACATTGACGTATGTAAGAAATCGTCATCGGTCATCTTGTCTTACATGTAATACGTATGTCAATGTAAAACTGTTGCGCTGCACGGCTTTTATTTTACAGACACCGAAATAGATTAAATCAATTGCTACTAAATAACGTACTAAAATATGTTTGGCAGTTGAGTTTGAAAGTTGATGATGAGAGGCATGTTCCGCATGTACTGCGGAATAATGTTTTTCAAAAATTGTTTCTTGAAAAAAAAAAAAACTATTCCTCTCTGACTTTAGTAACTACATTTGATAAGTTCAACTTGATCGTTTTTGTTTGGTTTATCTTGGTGTCTGTTATTAATAAAAACTGTAGTGCATTTGTTACCAAAAACGTGCGCCGGCATTTCTTGCTGAGTCGAGACACGAATGCAGGATGATGTCCTTTAGATTGTATAATTTATATGGAAGTTTATTGTAACTTGTAGAGTATATCGTTGTTAATATTAAAGATTTTAGCCTATAATAATGTGTTTTATTTCACTGTTCTTTTATTATTACTACTACATTATATGGCTTATGCCATTTATACACTTGGTAAATATCCTATTAGCATTTGTGAGTCCTGATTTAAAGGTTACACAATGAAGATAATTCTATTAAAATATTATCGACATTTGAATTATGTCATCGTGAAAATAAACTACGTAAAATTAAATAGATAGTTTACCCCAAAATTCGGACGAATATTAAAAAAAATCTAAAAAATCTCTAGTTTACTCAGGCAGTTAGAAACTAGTCAATCTTCAATAAATTTCCAACTAGGTGATAGGTAATTAGCACAAATTATCGAGAACTTATTAGTAATGATCAACAAAGTATTGTATTTCTAGTGTCTGTCCCGATAGAGCTGCATAAATCAATTTCGACGACGCTTCAAATATTTTTTTGCAAAATGTTGCTAGCTCTCCTAAATCAGGCCAACTAATAAAACCTTATGTACATCATACATAAACCTCTATTTAAAACAAGAGCTAGATCAGCTATATTACAATATTTGCTCGATAAAATACTAAGTGAGCGATAAATATGGTGATATAAAAGATTTTATAGCGTCAAAGCTCCACATAAAACGTTAATATTGCTATTAATTTTCCATTTCTATATTCTTAAGCGAGCTAACGATCTCATCATATTTAATTACAAGATTGGATAATAAACCTCGTCTGTATGGGGTGAGATGTTGAGGTTATTTCACTTGTCTCGTTATTTTAATCATAAAATATGTTTTTACAAATGTTTAATAAAGACTAAGAAAGCGATAATAAGATAATCAGTAAGAAATGACTATTTAAATGCCAATAACAAGCAAGAAGCATGGGCGTCGCCAGCTGCTAGGTCTATCATGAAAATGGTTAATTCACAGTTCAGGTGAAAAAATGAAAAAACACGTATTTATTGATCAATAAAATTGTACTGTTTTAAACAACTTTTAAGAGTACGATAACTTAAAACTATACATGACAGTAAATTTAAATTTAAAATTGTTGTTATTTTAAGTTTATGGTAATTCAGGTAAATGGATGGCCACATTAGGCAGTGCCTGAATTGTGGCCACCGAAATTTTTAACTATAAATATAAATTAAATTTATAAATATTTAAAAATCCTAGTTTGTTAGAGTTTGTAGCCTAAACGGCTCAACGGATCTCGATGATATTTGGCATAGTTGTGTAGGATAGTTTAGAAGAACACATAAGCTACTCACTTTTATTTCTTTGTAATTGTCGCGGGCGAGAGCTAGTACAATATAATCCTACATACTAGTTAATATATTTTTACAAGTCTCGTTTATCGCCAAAGAAGGTGCTAAGATCGCACATTATTCTAGTTCTACGATGAAAGTATAATTTTTAGTAGATATTCCTTTGTTACATTTAAATTCAATTTATCCTAAAATCATTGCGTTCCCTTTTTAAATCCTACGCAAAAGAAATATAAATTTGCAAACTTATTTAAATAAAGAGAGTTCAGGAAACAAAAATGAAATTACCCTAAATACGTCCCTGGCCGCTCATCGAGGACAACAGAGAGTTGATTAGCGATGCCGACTCTGTCGTCCCTTTCACTCATGTTGCTGAAAATAGTCTATCTCTCTCACACTCCACAGTAGCCCCACCGCCATTGTTGATGCCGCCGCGAAATCTTGGATCCATTTACGAAATATGTTTTTATATGCCAATACGAATATATTAATTAAATTATAATGTAATTCCAGAGCTTTTTGTATATAAAAGCTTGCGGATTACAATGCGCATAATTTAACATTCACATTTCGATTCAACGATTGTTATAACAATGATGGTACAGATAATATACGAGTAAGAGTGGTAACATATTTACATTTATTTTGCAGATTTGAGATGGACAAAAATATGCTGCTACAATGTTACTTAAAGTATAAAATGTTAAGTTTTTAACACAAGTAACTTATGTTGTTTAGTATAAACTTATAATCAGTTAAATAAACTGTAGTAATACATATGTAATAATTAAGTAAACACTCACTTGGTTTTATTCCATTTTAAAATGTAACTGTGTAGAATTTAATTAAACTTCAAATTCAGTGATCAGAGAAACCGTATTCGCGCCCACCTTCTTCTAATTAACACCAAGAGCCTTTACTTATTTACAGTAAGTATATTGCGTGTGTCACCGTCTTTAATTTGTTCATCTAAATTTCTCTTGTATAGTCAAGCAGTTTGATTTTTTACGTTATCTCTTAGTCTTGAAAAGGCGATATACAGTAAAATAATCAAAATATTAGATGAATTTAGCGGCTAGAAATATTATAAAGTACTTCTAAGGGTTGGTCTACACGTACTTTCAAATGAGTTAATTGATCTTTAGTGACCTCTTAGTAATATAACTCGACATAGAAACTTACTTAGTTACTTTTTAAGTCATTACAATCATAGCTATTATAGCTAATATATTTCACATGCTACAATCAAAAAACTTTAATTTACTTTTTCATACTTATGTAGGTAAACAAGGATTTGAAAATTACTGTCAGATTATTTTACAGTCTCCTAGACTATACGCGACATACGTACAAGCGTCGCTCCACTACGCCGCTCGACTCTTAATTGCAGTAATTAGTGAAAATGGACACTTATTGCAGTCGACGCGCGGAATTGCCAGTCTCTGCCAGATAAATGGATCTTTGCCTGTCTTTTAGGACGTAAAGACACTTTAAAGGAACCTTTATATTTTTTCAAAAGTGATTAAAAATTAACATTAATTTTAAAATTATCGATAACTCAAAGAAGAAACTAAGGATTTAAGAAAAGGAATATCACGGTTTGGTTAGCTCTGGGTTTGTTAGTAAAATGTTGGATGTAAAACGCTCTATAGTAATATAATTATGTTACAAATCGTATTAAAAATTGAGATGTTAGAGATTATTACAGATTCAGAGTAGTCGTTATAAAGTCTTTGTAAACGAAATATGACAATCCAATTGGAACTCCGAACTATTAAGTGTTTAAAATCTACAATAAAACAAAAAAAGAAAAGCCCGAGATTAAAATACACCACATAAAATTATAAGTACTAATAAAAATACAAACAAAAAATAAAGCGAATATTACTAGTTCCGAGTTCGGCCCTGTACTCCATCCAATTAGCGATCAGATTAAAGATATGCCGGGGGAGCCATTACCCGGCGAATTACGCTCCACGGCCGCCCGCGCCGCCCCCGGCCTCCCCCGAGCCGGTGCGGACCGCAAGTCACGAGCTTTTCACTGTAAAAATTGAAAAAAAATTAATATATCGAGATGGTACTTCGATCTCCGTGTTTGAACAGAATACGCGGCAAAAAATGGTTGCAGTTAAATTGGTCACATTATTCTGACTCCAACACTTATGGTATAGTTATGTAATCGCTAAATCGTGTACGCCGATCGGTTGTAAATTACACGATAAATCGTAAAAGCTCGGCAAAATGCATTTGGACAGAACTCATTCGTAGATTGACTTGGATCTGAACATAACAGTATATTTGATAGCTTGGATCCCAAAAAAATATTTAAAAGTTGAAATAGAATGTTTTGTATTGTGTAGAGGCCATTCGTAGCGTCGTAGCGCTCTCATAACTTGGACCAAGCCGCAACTCTCTCCGTTTCATCCCCGGCTAATTGTTTTAATCGCACCCACTTACCTATCGTTATGTATTGTTGTACGATCCGCTTTATATACATCAGTGTGTACGCACCCTTATATCCTGAGGTTCGTCTGCTCACTTCTTTACAGCTATAATGAAATACCACT